ATTTTCAAGCTTTCAACTCTCTCTGATGGCGTATATATATATATATAGATAGATTGATAAAGGCAAATTAATCTAAAGCACCAGGATTTTTTGTGCTCTGTTTTGAGCATCCAGAATATCATTTATATATAGCCACACAGAGTGTAAAAATAGGAAAAAATGAAGGTTTCACAACAGAATGAAATCAAAACCATAACAGCACATAAACAGCCACACAAATTTAACAAATAAGGGCCTGTGTCCACCTATCCAAAGATTGGCAGTTTTAACCCTAAACGGGTAATTCCAGAAAAAGTACAGGATATTACATGTAAATTATGGAATCACACACAAGGGGCCTACCAGTGCCAGTTTTCTGGTTTGGCGGAGACACGACGCTCTAACGGAACACATTTATATTTTTTAAAATGTAGGAACAACATCAAATTAAATGACATTACGTATATATAATAATAATAATAATAATAATAATAATAAATAGCATTTGTATAGCGCATATCCCCGCTCAACAGCAGGCTCTATGCGCTTTACACTATATTATTACCTCAGCAGACCATAGAACACTCCGAAACATTCTCAGCTTCCCGGGAAGCATACAGTGCAAGCAGCTGATTAAGCGCTCAAACACTAACAAACTGACAAGATCTTTCGCTGTCTATAGCCGGGTACCCATTCCCACCTGGGTGAAGTGAGGAAAATTCGTGTAAAGTGCCTTTCCCAAGGACACAACGTCAGGCCCCTGACGGGATTATTATATATAAACACACACAAAAAAAAGAAAATCAGCACATCGGGACAAGGAAAAAAAATTAACACACAACAAAGAGGGAAAAATACAAGACAAACAGCAATATATAGTATGTAATGTACCTACATTCTGGGCATGAAAATAATTACACATGGACACTTTAAAGTTATCAAAATACATCTTTAATTTATGTTATGGGGTAGATTCCAGCCTTTTTTGTTGAAAAATGCCATAAATCCCGGCCCGCGACAAACGTAGATGCAAGAATAATGTTGTATTGGGATTCAGAACAACATTCTGTCTTCAGAATCAGATTTATGCAAATCTTTTTCAGCTAAAAAAAAAAAAAAAGCAGATTGAATTTTCAAAAGAGACTAGATCTACATGTACATGTAATTCTTTACTGTCATTTCTTCTAGGTACGGGTTTAATAGCAACACATCAGCAAGGAAGAAGACACACAGTCTTGGTAGGTTTGACAGTGGCAGTTACGGGAACATAAAATACTACTAAGTATGTCTGTTTTAGTAAGGTTATACAGCGCTCGCAATTGCATAAGGCCATATGAGCACCAAAAGGAGGATGTCAACAGATAAGTCCAAACGGAAAATCAGGCTTACAATGCTCACGTCTCTAGCCTCACAGCACAAAGTCTGCTTCGACTATCAAGCCACCCCGAAAATAGCAGTTCACAAGAGAGTGACAAACATACAAAAGAAGTAGAGGAAAAATGATGACAGTAAGGAAAAGAAAAGAAAAAGCAATAGTTCTCCGTGCTAATCCGGCACAGTACGAGCATGGTATTTTGATAAATCAGCCCATTTACAATTTTACTGTGCATAAGAATATGTTAATATCCCCCCTTTGGGTATGGCCTAAAGACAACTTCAGTCAGTACAACTGCCCTGGTAGGGGGTACTGTTAAGTAACTATATAATAAGATGTACAGTTTACGTTACACATCATAATAACAGCGAACAGCTGACAGCAATAAAATCATGGCCATTATCGCTTTGGGTTTGGGTTATCAAAAAAGTCACTGACTTATCATGTATAACATATTGTAAAAATTATTTCTTTTATACTTTAAACATATAGTATATAGAACGAATCGTCACACTTTCTACTCTATAGCACTAATTTAGCCAGGGTCCCTAAGTAAAAGTGTCAAAAGGTACACATAATTAATTACTTACTCCTTTCAATTTTATGAAAAATTCTTACGAAAAGTTTATATATATATATTTTTTAAAAAGTACAATTTGGCTTTCATGAAAATGAACTGTTAACTTGACAATTTCTAAATACTACAATCCCCCCCCCCTCCCCCCACCAAAACCAACCTTAACACAAAACAGGAAAGCTTTATCTTCACATGTATAATTATATACTAACATGTCATATGTGTCACGACGCAGTGGAATCAGGCGTTCGTCAATTTTTGGGCACGTGGAGTCATTGGTATCATAAGAAAGCGGATTTATTTGCCTTGCTTCCAATTTAAAAAAAAAATCCGTTTATCTGGAATTGAACTCAAGATTAAATTGAAGGAAGTGAAGTCACCTGGTTTCAGTGGTGAAATTGGCCGCCAGAGTTTGGTAACTCCAATCGCTAAAGAGTCATTGAAAACTAAAAAATGACATATTTTGAGCCTTTAACCAATGTTTTTCAGTAAAATTCATATATGGAAATGCGAGAACGAGGAAGAAGAAGAAGAATATGGAAATGTGTTTATATAAGGACATAAAAGATAATGAGCCCCCCCAAATTATTTAAAAGTCGATAAAAATTCCCAAACTCGCAGAAAAATGACTATTTCTCAGATTTCGTTATTTTGACAAGCGCCTGATTTCACCATGCTGCCTCACATATTCCTCATGACTTCAATCACAAATATCTCGACTTCTTTTCAACATTACGTAGAATTTGTATTATAAGCAAGGTAAACGAACAAGCTTTAACTTTAAAATGACACCAATAACTCCACATAATTTATGCCCAAAATTTGATGAGCACCTGATTCCACTGAAGCGTAACACAAAAGTTTTTCTTACATTCATTTTCCTATCTATTGAGGCATAAAATATACTGTTATTATTTAAGTTGAACTTCAGAAATGTCGAACTTTTTTCACTGGCTAAGTTAACGCTATAGAGAGAAACTATAACCCAATACAGACGACTAGGGACGTGTGATGTCTTCAGGGGAGTGAAAAAAAGTTCAACTCATCTGAAGTTCAACTTAACCATTGGGACTTGTAAAGAAAAAACAGGTTCTGGGACCTGAGAAAAAGATCAACTTTACCAAAGACCAACTGAAGCAAGTTCAACAAGTGGAATCAATTGTAATGTGAGTGACCCTATGTCCTATGTTCAATTTTGGTAGACCAAAATTAAATCCCGCCCAAGCAGAGAAAAAAACTACAGAGACAAAGGGTGAAAAATTGATTTTCAAAACAGTTATAATTCATTTCCCTTCCAATTCTAGCTGGTAAAGATCCAATACCAATGCTGCAACGCAGCACCAAGAAAACAGACACACTGTCTTGGTAGATTTGACGGTGGCAGTTACAGGAACGTAAAATATTGCATAACTTATTTAAAACATGTAAAACAATACCAACATTAAAACATAAAAATGGAGAATCCGCCAGCATTATAATCACAGGAACATGTAGAGTATAATGACACCCTTTTATGTACCAGTATGCCCCAAGTGAAGTATGAACAGAATAAAAATGACAACAAAAATTTAAAAATGGTGCAATGGCTGTCTCTGTCTTGGATTCTGACCCCTAGACATCCTAAGTAAAAACTGCTACAAACAGTACTGTTCTGAGTACAGTGAGAGGATAAGCATGAGAGGAGACAAAATAAAATACAGCAAAGGGCTATATAAGAAATGCAATAAAGCAAAGAATATAATTCACAAAACATTGTCTGCCTGATCAAATTCATATTCGTGCAAGGCAATCATGTTATGACCTGAAGGGACTGCAATTGCAAACTAGTGTCTTCCAAGAATCCATGAGACATATTTCTGATCATTCTATCATTGGGGAATAATAATCTGATCAGTAATAGAACTATAAACGGAGTGGCTACTCGTCCGATGTCTTGTGACTAGCGTCAGGCTACTTGCCCGATCTATGATTTAGGCGCAGGTTCCGGGCGAACGAATTCGGTCGATTAGCCCCGCCTGGCCTGTGGCCTCTGGCCCTTGGGGATTTCTGCGCATGTTCCGTGTTCTGGCCCGTGGGGATTTCTACGCATACTCCTTTAAAATCCGCAAGATCAATCGCACAAGATTCAGTCACTCTCTCTCTTTCTTTCTCTGCCCGAAGACAAAATTTATCGCTTTCAACTCAGCGCAGGAACGTTTGTTTACACTCGAATTACGGCCGTCACGCGCTAAGAAGACGAGGTAGATCTAGCGCCTAAGTCTCGTTCAGATGCGAGATAGGGCAATTGAAAAATATTGGTAGTAGTTAGACAATCTTTAATAGCATCACGGCGCTGCAGTTCTGATGCTAGCCACCCTAGATCGGGTGAATAGCCTGACGCTAGCCACCCGACATCGGGAGAGTAGCCTGACGCTAGCCACCCGACATCGGGCGAGTAGCCTCTCGCTAGTCACCCAACATTGGGCGAGTAGCATCGGCCAACTATAATTCCAAGAAGGAGCAAGGCCTCAAATAAAGATAATACACTGAATAAGAAATTTTAATTTGATCCATTTCCTCACTGAGAAAATATAAATTTGTTATCAACAAAGCCCTCAAATTAGCGAGTACTTCTTCACTTGATGTCATTCAAGAAAATATTTTCTTTTGTTAGTACAGTCGAACATGACAATACAGCGGCACTCGCTGCAGCGGGACCCTACCGAAATCACCCTTTTTTGGTCTATATATTATATATATATATATATATAAGAATGTAAACTCAATTACCTTTGCTTGGGTTTAATGGGGAAAGGAAAGGCCCGAACGTGGATACAGTGGGAGAGATGCGAGCTCAAGCTGGGGGAAGAAGGTTGGGAGGTGGGGGGCTGTAGTCGGGCTCCAAACAGAAAGTCAGCGGAGCGGCCTTGTGATTGGCCAGGCTAGGCCAAAAAGTAAGTTTTAGTAGAGATTTTACGGCGCTCGCAACTGCATAAGGTCATATGAGCGCCAGAGGATTAGAGGTGTTACAAGAGAGTAACAAACATAAAAAAGAAGGGAGATATAAGGACGATAGATGTTTGATAGGAAAGAAGAAGCAAATCACACCAGAGCATCTGCCAACCACCCACCCAAAAAGTAAAAGAAGAGGAAAGCGTGTTGTGTGTTATTCCTCCTGAATACAAACGTATCCACTTCACCAGTATGCCTACCGGTACGACAGACAGCACAAGCAGCAAGACCGAAGTAAAGATGGCCTCTAACAAAGACGAAAGGAAATGCTTCTCAATCAAATGAAAGGGCGAGATAACCAACGAAGCTGACAAGAAAAAGGAAGACTAAAGTGCAAATTAGAAGGGACTGCGACATTTCATCTGGAACACTTAATACATTTTTGAGAGACAAAGATGCCATAATGTCAGCTATTTTTCGGTAATTCCCCTTTATATTCCTATTGCGGGAACTTGCCTACAGCAGGATTTTCTTTTGTAACTAAAAGTAGTAAAAGCCCCGCTATCGCCATATTCTACTGTGCATGAGGGGCTGGCATATATAACGATCCCTTGTCTCATTAACCTCAGCAGGTGTTGTCTCTGATGAATTCTCTGCCATGCAGCGCTCCCCCCCGACCAACTGATCGCTACAAGAAAACAAAAGTGACCTCTCTATACGACCTGGAAGCCCAAGCTGCCTCACTGTTTCCTTCCGACCAGGCTGAGACCCACACATGTCAGAGACACGGACAAAACAAAGCTGCTGAAGAGATGGCACGGAGACCGACATCTCATCTAGAACCGCTAAACTCTCGATAAACCTTCTTCTGTTAAGAAACTCTCTGACTTTTGTATGTCTAGGCAAGAGAGTCAAGTCTGAGGTTGTCAAATAGAAGGCCCTCAGCATGTCCCGAGCCACTGTTACATGACCACACACTAATGCCATACAAAGGGGAGAGAAGACGCTGGCAAAGGCTGCTATATGAATGGGATTTGCCCTACAGAAAGGCGGAGTCTCTTCAACATGGATGTCCTGAAACAGAGTAGGATTAAAACCACCATAGTGTATCAGGGCTGACAAAACATGAAAATTGCCGAGGGCAATGCAGTTGTGGACTGCCAACATTGCATCACCTGATGTAACTTTTGCTCCACGCTTGACAAGACACACAATAAACCTTGCCAATGCAGAATAGGATCTCTTCAGGAGAAGTCTGGTTAAAAAAGTTTTACCGTTGCGTCTAACGTCCAAGTCAACACCAGCTTCCACTAAACAACGAAAAGTAGAAAAGTTTTTGTACTTTGCAGCTACCATCAAGGCTGTGCTGTTATTGCATGAATTTGAGACATCAAGCCACACCCCTTTTTCAATGAGCAAAGGAACAATGGTCCCATTATCAGTTCTGGCGGCCATGGTAAGCGCAGTTTCACCATCCAAATTAGAAATGTTAACATCAGCACCGTGATCAAGCAAATAACGAGTTATCTCAACATTTTTTCCCTCAATCGCAGAAATAAGAGCAGGAAATGGACAACGATGATCCTTAAAATTCACATCGGCACCTTTTTTGATTAGCGTATCAACTGACTCCGAATCCCCATGAAAAGCCGATACTGACAGTGGTGACCGACCACCCAAACCAGGCTGATTGAGATCAATGTCATAACTAAGAAGCAATTTTCGCACTTCACCTAAACACTGGCTCCGTGAGAGAGCAAGATTGAGTGTCGTGATGTGTAAAGTGGCACCATGCTTCATCAAAACTTTGACAACTTCTGTGAGATTTGACAACACAGCCTGCTCCAAAGCTGTGTTAGTAACGTGACCATAGACAAAGGAAGGATGATGCTTGTTAACATCGGCACCATTAAGTATGAGCATTTCCGTAATGTCTGCAGACTTGGAGCACTTCAACGGCACGTCATACAAGTCACTGTTGCCTGTGGTTTTAGCACCAGAGTTGAGAAGACTTTCTACAATGGCTAAACTGTTGCTGGTGCAAGCGGCACACAACCACTTTGTCCCTTCATCACGAGATACTAATTGTTCAAATTTTTCTGGGTAGGCATTCCGCACCATCAAAAACACAGGATAACGCCCTGACTCAGCTGCGGCAGTCATAGTCTCATTGAAATCGATGTCCTTGATGATCTTCAAGAGTTTGCCAACACACTCTTCGTTAGCAACCTTCAATGCATCATTCAAAGCATGCTGAAAACTGCGATCCCATTGCTGTTTTCTCAGACCAAAATGATGCTCCAGCAACTCCATACTAGGGGTGAGAGCATCTATGAGATCACAACGACCATTCCTAGCAGCAATTTCTAAAGCTCTGGCATACGAGTTACCATTTCCAATCCCTTTTTCATTTTTCAGCAAAAGGTCAAGGAGCTGCCCATCTCCAAGTTCCACAGCCATTAGAAAAGGACTATTGCGATAGCCATACTTACCCCCAATATGGATATTTGCTCCAGCTTTCACAAGCATAGCTATAACATCCAGCTCTTTGACAGTTAACTGTTCAAAACTATGTAAACAGGTTTTCAAGTCAAAGGAGTAGGAAAATAAATCCATTCTCTTCTCCAGTTTTGAATTAAAGATCATTGTGAGGGCAGTGTCAGGGTAATCCCGGTAACCATCGTCATCTCTTTCATCTGTTTCATCATCTCTTTCATCTGCTTTGACACCATTTTCATCCAGGTCAAACTGTTTTGACATAAGTAACAATGCTAAAAGATCAGTATTCTGGGCTACTGCGGCTTTCATTATTGGGGTCAATCCTTGACCACTGGTGTCCTTGGCCAGTACCTCCAACAACCCATCCATACCCATGGCAGTGGCTAATGATCTGGCAGTATTCCCTTTTTTGTCTTTCAGATCCACATTGGCCCCAGCCTTTACCAACTGAAGCACAGCGCTCATGTTCTGACTCTGCACGGCTTTCATTAAAGCTGTTTCTCCTTTGCTGTTCTGAACATTGATTGCTGCTCTGTGTGACAACAGAACCTTGGTGATGTGAGCTGCACTCGATGTGCCCTGACAAAGAATCAGTGGCGTGTTGCCACCACGATCAAATGTATAATTCATGACAAAATGTCTACCCTCACTTTTTTCAAGAAGAAATTCCATGACATCAACATGCCCTTTTTCCGCTGCAAAGTGAAAGCAAGTCTTTCCAAACTTTTCTGTAAAAAGAGAAGCTCCATGATATATCAGATTTTGCACCATAAACAGGTGGCCCTGAGACACAGCTTTAAGCAGGGCAACATCCAAGACAAAAAATAGACACTTGCCGTGACTTTTCAAGATTTCAGCCACTTTAGTTGATCGTCCAGCCTCCACAGCCTTTAAGAGACTTTTGGATAAATGAGTAGAGCAAGATGAAGAATTTGGACTTGAACGTTGATTTTTTCTTCGACAGGAATGAGAATGATGGTCTTTACTGGACGTGCCGCTGGAGGCAGACTCTACAGTTTGGTTCCATTTTGACTTTCGTTGACGTTTTGCGGGCGTCTCAGAGTCTGAGCTACGACAGCTTTTCTTTCTTTTGCGAGCTGAGGCCAGGGAAGACCGGCGTCCTCCATTTGTTGTTTTCTGAGAGGTCTGTTTTTGGCCTTTTTTGCGACTCTTGCTGGAGGAAACTGTATCTTGAAAAGATGTTCGCCCCACACTATCTGATTCTCCGAGAGTATCGTCACCACCTGAAGCCTGTGCACTTTCCTGTGTCGTGTGGCTTCGGACATTCTGGCCACTAGCTTTGCTTGCCATACGCATCGATCTCCGTCTAGGAAGGATCTCATCATCTTTTTTCCGGCCGTGACTGGGTGCCCTTTGAAATCCCTGTTTTCCCTGTAGCAAAAAACAAACAAACAGAAAGCAAAAAAATGTTTATGTCCCACAACTATGTCAGCATACATCCTACTTCTATATATTCATATAGTCAAGTGAAACGTATTAGCATAGCATCTCTACACAACACAAAAAAAAGCATAAAAAAGAGAAAGGAGACATTTGCAATACCCTACTCAGTACATGTACTTCCCCCGTGAACTGACTGTGCTTTCGATTTATCTTTTACCTTTAAAATCTTATTTTGTTTTAGTAAGTGTTTAACTCATCAAAGCAAGATCTATATACAGAAGCATGATCAACATCTGGAAGTCAGGACAGTTCAGTATACAGACAGACCAAGTTAAAGCTGTATAACAGCTGTGTACTATCCACCCTCCTATATGGATCGGAACGCTGGAGGATGACTAATCATGATCGGGCCAAGCTATGGTCTTTCCTTACAAAAAGAAGGTCATATACGTGCGTAAGATAAGAGATGTTATAATAGAGTAACAAACACAAAAAAGAAGGAGGGGAGATAAAGATGATAGATGTTTGACGGGAAAGAAGAAGCAAACCACACCAGAGCACCCATCAACCACCCACTAAAACCTTATTTAAGACAAGATGGTCAGAGTGGTGTGGGTATGAAATCTCATCACAGCCTGTGAAAGCGATCGACTGGTGCTCCAGCACGGAAACTTTTCCGGGTAGCCAGAGGCCAGAGTTGTGAAATTTGTTTGATCAATGCCTGCTGCTCTGAACATAAGACCAGCCTAGAAAAAAAAAAGTTTCTCAAATTGTTGTTACAAGCACGGGAGGGGTGACATAGATGATAGGTTGACTGAGTTTATTACACCAAAGGGTGAGGCAACGGGTGGAATTAAAGGAATGTTCAATCATTTATTTTTAATAATAAGGTCACACAGTGGTCTTATTTAATGCAAGCTCAAATATTATAATAAATAGCGCTATGAAATCTTAATTGAGAGCTCATATTCAACATTATCAGTTCAAATTCAACACACATATTTTTAAGTAGCATCCACTTGGTCTTGAGCACCCCCCCCCCCCTCTTTCTGAGCCTGAGCCTTTGCCAAAAGGTGGGGGTGTTTGCATTCATGAGAACTTTTTAAATTAAACTACAACTCATGGAAAAATATGTTTTCTACTGAAATAAGTTGGCCAAGCAGTATGAGAAGGTAGATTGATGTGTATGCATTTTATTATTATATAACCCTTTATAGAAAGACACTAGATCTAGTAAAAAAAAAGCACTTTTTACTTATCTTAAGTGTACACGTAATTGTATGTTATAGAATATCGTTAATCTTAAACTATAAAACAAAAGTGCATTCAAACATTGAAAGCATTTAGTTTAGTATACATCATCATAACACCATGTGTCCATTGACAGAGTGTTACTTAAAAGATTTGTTTTAAATCACAAATATATTTACTGTCGAACCTGTGTAAGACGGAATCACAAGGGAGCGGGAAAAAAATTCTGTCTTAGACAGGGAATTTAGGGGGGGGTTCAAAGGCCCAGCCGGTGGGATCAAGGATCGCTTGTCCGATCGGCAAGCAGGGGTCAAAACTTCACACCTCTCAGTTGCTATCCTGTCTGATAGTGACATGCGTCAGTCTTACTTATCCAATTACCACCAGTGCTTGCCTTTCATAGGACCACTGTTTGACCTATTAAAAACAGAAGCGTTTGAACATCTCCTTTGCTTCCCCCCTTAGTCCCACCCACCAATGCCACCATTGTAACATTGATTCGAGGAACTCTTTTCTCGGCTGGCTATACGATCAGAGCGGCAGGCATTGGTCAATCTAATTTCACACCTCTGGCTTCTGGCTACCCAGGAAAGTTTCCGTAGTGGATCGCTACTCGAGCATTCTCACGGGCAGTTGTGAGATATCACACCCACACTACACTGACCATCTGCAGCGCTCAGTGCTCACATGATTTGGTAACATAGGGTAACTTGCACCCCATCTCCCCTTCCTCGCCCAGCGGCATGGCCATGGCGTTAAGTTTAGAGCCGGCGGAATCAAACTTGCGAGTTTTGTTTCAAATCAGGGCTGAGCGGGCAAAGCATTTTCCGTCTTAGACAGGTGAAACCCCCGGAAAGAAGCGGATTTTTCTTTCCGTTTCCGCGTTGGACAGGTTTCCGTTTTATACAGGTAATTAAAGAGGAATGTATCAAGGGGGGAGCAGGGGGATTCCGTAGAGACAGGTTTCCGTTAAGGCAGGTTCGACTGTACACGGAATTTAAATATTTTAACATTTTAGCATTTTAAAGTCAATTAGTCAACCAATCGTGGAGTGAACTTTTGCGAAAGTTAACAACTTGTGCTTCGCGCGCTCATATGACCTTAGCAGTTGGGAGCGCCCTAAAACCCTATACTACTACTACTAGAGTTTTATTAATTAATTTTAGGAAGTGGTTATTCGCACCGGGTGCGCGCATAAGAATTAATATTATTCGCACTGGGTGTGCGCATAAGAATTAATTATCGCACTGGGTGCGAAATTGGCAAATGGCGCGAGAGTCCGCGAAACTAGGCTTACCTGCGTGGCATTTTCATTTTTCAAAACAGAGCCCTGGGGGAACCTTGCCAGTAGCGTTCTGTTGGCCACAAGGCTATTGCATCGCAAATCTGAAATTACTCAACACCTAGTTCTAGTTTTTCTAGATCTATTCAGCATAGAAGGGGGAGCCAAGTTCAAGAGCTTTTCAGAGTTCACAGAGGCTCTGAAAGAGTATGAAAGTAATAAAGTTGCAATAACACAAAATTTGTGGTGACACGATTCACCAAAATTGGCCAAACAGACCCCTTGAGTGCTGTTTACGTGTACCAGTCGATCGGGTTCCAGTTCCAGTGCAAGCAGGGGCAGCGCCACCATTATTGTATTCTTTAAATTAATAAACTATTAAAAAAAAAAAAAAAGATCATAGGTGCAAATATAAAATGCACCCTGTACAGGTTCTATTTTGGTTGACGGCCGCTTGAGGGGGGGGGGGGGGGGGGGGGTGTCCTGGGAAAGATGACAAGAGGGGTGGGGTCATTTGTGAACAGTCCTTAAAAGTAAAACTGCAATCATTCGGCCATAAATAATATGATGTATTACTACAGAGTAGTACAGAGTTACTACATAAAGTTGATTTTGGACCTCATTTGTCACACCCAGGTATCCCACCTTTAGTTTTAGGCAAAGTGTTTTAATTTTGGAAAGCACTGGGAATAGGCCAGAATTGTTCCCAGTGTCACTGGGATGAGGCCAAGAAACTATTCCCAGTGACACTGAGAACAGACAGGCCCATTAGATGTCTAGATATATTGTTCCCACAATGATCTACATGGGCATGATGATGATGGGTTACTGAATACTAGACTATACACATGTATTTTTCTTTATCTAAGGTAGATCTAGATATTTAAGAGTAGATTCTGGTGTGAGTGGAAGAATTTTTTTAAAAAGAAAGGAAGGGTCATTCTATGCTTGCTTGTTATTCATCATGTACATTAGATCTAGATCTAATACGGATGTTGGAGACTACGGTACAGGACAGGTAAAAATCCTTCCCGATTCTCCATTTCTTCTAGAATCTAGGCTACGGTCAAGTCTTGACCCAAGTAAAAGCGAAGAGAAGAAAAGTCTGAACTTAATTGAGAAGAGAGCCTACAATACACGTTAGAAACGAATCTAGATACCTCTACCATGTCTCCCCCTCTTTTCACTGGTCTGGTAAACTTCACCCGCGCCTCTATCGTTCTTGGGCAGAGCAAACTATAAAATGTTCCTGGTCCACTTTTCTCTGTTTATTATAATTGATTTGCATGTGGCAGCCCCCCTCCCCCCCGACTGTCGAATACTATATATCTATAAGTAGGCTATCCTAATAACTTAAGTGCTGAATGTGCGGTCCACCAAAAATTAGCGTACTACGACTAATTCAGAAAACCAGGAACCTGTTGGTCCATCCTCCACTTCTGGTCTCCCTCCATTGCCTCCCCCTCAAAAGAAAAGGAGCAAAAATAAGCCTACGACATGTAATCAAGAAAATCAGGAACCTGCTGGTCAATCCTCAACTTCTGGTCTCCCTCCACTGCCTCCCCCTAAAAAGAAACAGCGGATGGGATCAAGTAATACTAATTATATAATAGTGAGAACCCTGCGCCTGTTCCTGTGGTCCGTGGTAAACGTCCTCATCCGATACCTAGATATTCCGGACTTTGATCTCTTCAATGATTCGGATAACAGGTCCGTTTACAACTTTGTCTTGTCCCCCCTGCTCTCTCTCTCTATCTCTCTCTCTCGTGGTATTCTCGCAGCCCTCACTCACCCCGCCTCGCGTCGCCGGGAACTAGTTCGCGTAGCGGTCGATTAGGACCCATGACTGTATAAGTATAAGTCCGTTGTTTGTCTAGTGCCCATTAATACATATAAACACGGTGGGTCCACCAAAGTTCAATCCAGCTCCTATGATCTTTGTCCTTGCGCGATGATGGGAAAAAAAATGAGGAAATGGTTGGCCGATTTCCATCCTTCCTTTGAAACACCTCGTGCGAATATAATTTCATAGTATTCACACACCCTGTGCGAATAAAATTTCATAGTATTCACACACCCTATGCGAATAACTACAGCCTTAATTTTAATGATGTTATATATACAGTGGAATCCTGTTATAACGAGAGGGAGGGGACCGGTGCGAAATGTCCGTTATAGCAGGATTCTCGTTACAAGGGATCCAGTAATAAATTCAAGGTAAATAGTAAAGTAGGCCTAATCTATGAGTTTGGTGTTCTGTTTATTCCTTTTTGTATTTCCCCTGATGATGATTTGTTCAACATGATCTCTAGGTCAAAAATCGAATTAGGTTTCTTTCTCTAGCACTAGCAAAGTTGACAGCTCAGCGTTGGCGATCAGAAAGAAGGGGCTTTGGCTCTAGGCTAACTCGCCCGCTGTAAACTCCTTGGTTGCCCACCACCCCATCACACCCTGTGGTGCGTTGCGTCTGCTTGCGTACATCACACATTCACTCCATCTATCACAGCATTGTGACCTCTCCATCCCGCACCAGAGAAGTGAAAGGCTCGGTATGCCTAGACAATCTAGACTGGGCTGGCCTATCACGTGATGCGTTCTGCTTGTCTGCGCATGCCACACCCTCCTCTCTCATTCGCTCTGCAACTCGCGTGACGGTCTGAATGCGCAATAGCAGTATTTTATTTACAAAGATAAAGAAGGAGACAAAAAAAAGGGTTTTAGAATAGTGTCTTCATTATAACAGACTTCTCGTTGTTTCAGGACTTGTTATAAGTGGACTCCACTGTATATAAATCTAGGTGAGTAAAATTTATAAGTTCATTCAAAACTCGTGTCTAAATTGGAAGTGGCTATTCTCACCTGGGGTGAGAATAGAAATACGATCGACCACTCACCCCGGGTGAGACTTGCCACCGTAGGCTATTCTCACCCGGTGTGAAACAAGACCTGTTTTTCCTAATTTCGGGATACTTTCTATCGATGTGGATGATCAAATAGATAAAGGCAAAGAAAAGATTACGTTATAGCGCAAAAGTAAGCTAATTTTATCGACTACAAAGATGCTATGGCTATTTCACTTTTCGAATCGAGCCGAACTACGCGGGTCGCCATTTTGTTTTGCCCGGAAGTTCTTGCAAGATCTACTCCTCCTCTTTTCTCTCTGGTTCTGAATAGGCCCCTACTGTCTATCGGTGTGGACGATCAAATTGACCAAAACAAAGTTAAAAAATGATGTTAAAACACAATGGTAAGGTAAATTAATTTGGTCGTGTACAAAGATGCTACGGCCATTTTGTTTTGCCCGGAAGTTCTCGCGCTACTCCTCTCTCTCTCCACTGCCATCAACAGACAAAATTGTATGCTTTTAGTCTAACAGTAGTAGTAGTAATGGAACGTTTGACGGTTTGTTCACGGCACAGAATTCGGCGCTTTTTCGTCTGTTACCCCAGGCGGGCCTGGCCGCCATCTTGTATCGGTAGTAATCGGGCGGTGTTTCTACCTGTTCTGTTCAGTAATCGATAGGCCTAAAGAGTCGAGCATCGTCGTCTAGGCCTAGATTGAACCAAATAAAAATTAAATGTATTTTCTCAATGCTGTTAGTGTTTGTTGTTATTGATTTTGTTAACGTTGTTGTGCCTTTGTTGTGTTTTTGTTTTGTTTTGTGTTATTTCTCACTTTTAGTTACTAGATCTAACATTCAATACGATAGGCCTAGTCACAATCACAGAAAGTGATAAGAGAGACAGAGATTATTAAAAGAGAGACAGATTTAACATTCAATACGATAGTCACAATCATAGTAAGAGAGACAGAGAT